ACACACACACCAAACACACACACACACACACACACACACACACACTCTCGCATGCACCCTTAAAGTTGGCTACTGCGTGCCAGAAACTGACGAATGATTACCGTTGTGACTTCAAATGACACGCAGTAGCCAACCTGAAGTCGGACACGCTATCACATGCACAAGCAAACATACATAACAAATACAGACACACACTGGCATATACAGAAAGACACACACACACACACACACACACACACACACACACACACAMACATTCTGGCATGCACCCTTAAAGTTGGCTACTGCGTGCCAGAAACCGACGAATGATTACCGTTGTGACTTCAAATGACACGCAGTAGCCAACCTGAAGTCAGACACGGTAACACATGCACAAGCAAACATGCATAACAAATGCACATACACACACGCACACACATACACACACAGACACACACACACATGCACACACACACACACACACACACACACACATGTCGATGACGTCATTGTGCGTTTCCGCTGGCAGAGAGAAGAGGACGAAAGACAAACCGTACGCATCATGTCGATGTCAGCAGCACAGGTGGAGGCTGTTCTTGCAGAGGTAATGAAGTATGCAAAGGAGGGCGTCCACTACAACGGTGCTTGCGAATTGTCTTTGCTTCAGAACAGGGTGCCAAGGTACTTCATAGTCGCTGTGGATATGAGATCCACAATCATGGCAAACGGCGAGGGCTGTGTCAAAGCACGAACACTCTTGCAACGCTTCAGAGAGTCACCACATGTACGTGTGGACAACGATGTGGAAGACAGTGCATACAGTCTAAAAGGAGTGGTCCAGTGGATCTGCAGCGAAGGGATGTGCGAAGAAGGAGACGTGGACATGACAATGCAGCAGACAGGGGGGACATATACACCTGCGAACTTGGGCAAGTTGTTGGGCACTGTCGCACGGAATGGGGGAATGCTGGTTGATGGGTCGAAGAACGAGTTGAAGAGTGGCGATGCCTAAATATGGGTGTTGTCCAGAATGAAGGACATTATACAAATAATGCCAGAAGACTTTCAAGATGTTCCTGTCATTGTCGCAGATGGTGTGGAATATATTTTGCTGGATCAACTTGTGGACTTCATGAAAAAGAGTGACGACGACAGGAACGTCATCCATGAGGCGTTGCACGAAGTGACAGAGTTTGCACTGCAAGGTCAAGATCTGATAGAATTTGTGCCAGCAATAACAGAAGACAACATCATATCTGGCTAACCGTTGTGGGGGGAGTTGTTATCAGCTGCTTTGGAGCGGCTCGGTCTTGCAAGCTGCGATGTTGAGAGACAAAGAGAAAGAGAAGAAGGGTGGAAGGTGATGACCACGGAAACAAATTTAACAATCATTCCAGACAACGGACAGACATAAGCAGCACAAGAATCAATAACCAGTATGGCAGTCGATGTGCCTCCCATGCAGACAGCAACGAGAGAGCAGCTAGTGTGTTGCGATATCTTCAATGCTTTCACAATGGAGAAAGAACAGTGTGATCGTGGATTTGAAGAGGCCGATTTGGCAAGTTGTTGTGCAGAGTATACAGACAGTGCAGAAGAAAAAGATGAAGAAGAGGATGAGGGGGCATCATGTAATGACGTGGAAGTGATCGGCAGCGATGTCAGCAGCGACGAGGAAGACGAGGAACATGATGTATACTATGATTTGAAGGCTGCGGGTGGACAAGTGACAAAAGGGTGGGCACATGCAATTTTGAGGTTGGCACGTACTTTTTCCGATCCGCACAAAGTGCTGCGTGTTGTGATGAAGGGGGCAACACCAGATGGTGCACTACAGTATGTCGTAGTGACCAGCATAATGAAATCATGCAACAAGGGAAAAAAGTGGTCACGTGTTGGCAAGGGATGGTTTGTTCTGGTCAACAGAGAGGTTGTGCTAGCAACGTCACTGACATGGGGAGTCAACCTGAGTTGCCTCACACACGGCGCAATGGCGACAACTTGGGGAGAGACATTGCACCCCGGCTTGTCAACATGAGATGCAATAGTTAGTGCTCGGCTACGGCCGCGACCGGAAACACACCCACACACCACGACAAACCATGTTAGACATCAGGGATGATGACAGACATTCATCCCTCAACCTGTACATCCCTCTATGTCTGCCTCAATTTCAACGACGGTCGGGTTCACTACTGCGTGCCATATCAGTGTCCACCGGTGCTGTTTGTTGTCGTTTTGGCCCGCACTAGTGAACCTCCTCTCTCTCTCTCCCTCTCTCTCTCTCTCTCTCTCTCTCTCTCTCTCTCTCTCTCTCCACCGGTGCTGTTTGTTGTCGTTTTGACCCGCACTAGTGACCCCATAGTCTTTCTCATATGTCGAGTTGTAGCTATATTAGAACCTCTACATCCATCTGCGGGTTACATTTAATGCTGCCTGTTGTTTGCCTCTCCAAGTACATGCGGTTCACTACAGCGTGCAGACACAGGATTGAACAATATTTCAATCGTTTGATGATTGTTACGATGTATGTCATAATTTGTTGCCTTTTGGAGTACGTGAGACACATCAGACCCCCTGTGATGACCAATGTGTGTATGTTGTGTTTTTTTTTGCATTCTCTGTAATTTAAATTCAAATGTAGTAGGTTGTGAAATGTTTTGGAAGTTTGTGCGGAGGTCGGTTGAGGTGCCGAGGTGCAATCATTTTCACGCGGACATGGAAAACACATACCACATTCACAAACGTCGTGGATGGATAGTTACAAACTTGGCCAGCCGCAAAACTGTGGTGATGAATGTTGTGTCATATATCGTGTACGATGCGTAAGTCGTTGCCTCTTCCTACACGACCATAGAACCTGTCATGGCATATAAATTATCGTGTCGTACGGTTGACTACTAATCTTTGTCAATTGGGATCAGCGACACTGACCATTCGTACAAAAAACGGCAATCAGTACTCTCTCTCTATCTCTTTCTCACACAGAAGAGGATGTGCGACACTTACACAATATAACAAAATATGCTCTGCAACTTATAATTCTAACGACTTGAACCAATGTACAAAATGCTAATGTAAACACTGTTCACACCGCTCTGTTTGTTTTTGGAATGCACTACGTGCACAGAAAATGGTCAGCGGTCCACGGGTGTGCGACTGTGGCAGACCTTTCATGTCATTACGAACTTTGAACTCACATCGTGCGAGGCCATGCCCGGCCGTGGCGGACGAAAGAACACATGGTCAGGAGATGGGTGTGGTCGATGACACCGGAGCATCAAGTATAGGTGCAGTGAATCTCGTGAGCGATGAGAGTGAGGACGTCTGGGCCCCCGGGAATGTAGACGGGGAGGGCGGGAGATTCGAAGAGCAGCAACCGCAGCCTGTCGAATCTTTTTTGACAGCTCTCGCAAGCTGGCGGCACTAATTTTCTCCGCCAGGGGCGGCATCGGTATGTCGCAGAGCGACATAGATGCTCTCTTGTCACTTCTCACGGACCTGAGATTCTGCACGAGAGACATCGCGTATCGTAATAGTCGAGAGTGTTTGACATGGGCAGGGAGTCTAGTAGACGCTGCTGGATGGAAAGAGTTGGATTTACGTTGTGACGATTGGCCACGGGATGCGCACGCCATCTTGTGGCACCGCGACTGGTGAACGACATTTCTGTCGATTTTTCATATCGCATTACAGAAATGTGAGACGGTGTCTTCTCTAGAAGTGTCTCCGCCGTCAGAGCACCTCAGTATATCCGTCCCACGCAGCGGGGCGCTAAGTTATCACATCCAGTCGATCATTCGAGCGGATAAAGGCGTGGACGGGAATGATAATCCACGTTATGTTATCCCTCTTTCATTGTATTCCGACAAGACACATACATACGGTCGTAAAAAACAGACGGCGTACCCTCTGATGATGTCACTAGCCGACCACGCATCCGAAGCTACACTGCTGGCCTATGTTCCTGTGCTTCATCAGCGTCCGCGTGACAAAGGATGGGGTCTGCAGTCCACCGCATTCAGAAAGCAAAAGGCCATCATTCTGCACAAGGCCCTTTCAGTGGTGTTGCAGTCTGCGAAGGAGGCATCTCATGACGGAATAATGATACCGACAACGCGATTCGGGGACATAACTGTCCACCCTTTCCTCCTCAACTATATTCAGGACTACCCAGAATGATGTGCGATTGCAACTGTAAAGTTTGGTGTATATCCGACATGCACCGTGTCCAAAAACGATTTTGATGTCATAGCCGATTTCACAGACTGTAGGAGATCACAGACGTTGGAAATACACCTCACAGCAGATGTGTTCACCGCCGACGACATCGACGTTCGCCGTGCAGCGGAAGCACGAATGTCGGAGTTGAACATGCATAGGCATGTTCAACGGAACGGCCTTTGGGGGTTCTACAGGGGCCCCAATGGTGACGATCCTCAGCTAGACTACCACCTGGTATTGCAACCAGACCGTATGCACACAATCGAGCACGACATATTCCTGCACATGATTGACGCATTCAGGACCGCTGCCTTTGAGAAGTTGCCGCACTTACCGCAAACAGAGATCCTGAAGGAACTAGACGCAAGGTTGCAAAGCGTTAGTGAGAGATGCACGCGAACATACCCCCAACTTGTGTTGCCGGTGGTCACTGGCAGTGACTTTTTTTCGAGGGAGGGACGGTTCGAGGCGAAGCAAAACCGGTCTGTGATGACAATGTGCGTGTTCCTTATTTCTAATATTATACCGCGCTCGACAGGCAAGGACATTACCGTTTGTTTTGTGAAACTGATGGAAATGTACATACGAGTGTTTCGGTGTACAACACACAGTCGTGCTTCGCTCGATGAATGCGATGATTTGATCACGGACTTTGTAACGACCATCGAAGGAAAATTGAGAAAATATCAACCATCAACATGGAAACTCCCCAAGTTGCACGATGTCATGCATCTGACAACGTGTATTGAGTGATCCGGTGTCCCCGACAACTTCCCGACAAATGTTTGGGAGCATCACCACAGGAAATTCTGCAAACAGCCATACCTGTCATCAAACAAGCAGAAAGCTTAAACCCAGATGGTAAACCATGTGCGTCGGTCATTGGCGTTGCGCGAAGAAATTGGGATTGTGAGGAAACGGAGGAAGAGAACGGTTGAGAACCGGTCGTCTGTGATAGACTGTATGGCAACCGGAATGAACACCCTCGCACTACGCGACACGACAATGCTGCAGCTGCGGTGGTTCGACATCGATGACGAGTACATACGCGAGGGAGAAGACATTGATAACCATGCGTGTAAGATACTCGAGGAGCTTCCTTGCAGACGCGATTTTCGAGCTGCGCTTACGACATACATGGTGGAGAATGGTTGTCAACCTCCTTCTGACGACCTGCTTATACACACACGGACACACCTGGCCATCGCTTGCGTACAGGACGGAAGAAACAGGGGCACAGTTGTTTAAACGGCAAGAGCGTCGCCACAGTTCCATGAGAGACCAGTGCACAGTGACTTCGTAATTAGAGTAGGCAATGAATGCACATGGTTTGCATCAGTAGCCATGTTTTTTGTCGTGGACGCACCCGCGGACAGCGGTAATATGGAACACAACTGCGGATTTGTGCAATGGTACAAAGAGGTCGACAGTGAACGGCAACACATGACAGGTTGCAAGAAATTGAAATGAGAGAAGTTGAATGGACATCAACACAGTAGCGTCGTTTCGACCGA